AACTAATAAAATCTATAAGAATAAGAAAATTATGTACAATATAAAAAAATCAACTTAATTTAAGATTATAAATATCTATTAATTAAAAATAACACGTTCAATTATATAAAAACCATCAAAAATTAATAATAAAAATTTTGTTTTATATATAATATAAATAAACTCATGTTTAAAGAACACTTTATTTATTATGATATAATACTTTTATCATCACTGTTTGTTACAAGTTATTACAAAGATTAATTGTTTAAAAAAATATTACACCCATTACTTATAAAAATTAAAACTATTTGAAGGCAACAATATTCAGATATGATTTCAAACAACCAATACATAACAAGAATGGAGCTAAAGATGATTACAAAATTTATTTTATTTGGTTATAATAATTAAGTATTATTGTATTTTTATGTCAATATTATGTTTATTAAATATATTTTGATTTTGTTTTTACACTTTTAGGTATTTTTTGGTATATTAAATTACAAGTGTTTGATTAGACAAGATATTTTTAAAATTAGACATATACAGATTTTTATAAAAAGAACTATAAATACAAATAAGAAACTTATGATTTGAATAATTTTATGCCATTTTTGTAGCATTTACAAAGACAAATATACCATTGCTACAAAGATTTGATCTAAACTATATCTTGTCTGATAAAATGCAATCTCAATTAAATTTTAGTATATCCAAAACTCGTGTATTTCAAAAATATTTAATATTGAAAGAGTGATTGCCTTTTATTTGTTGATTTTATTTCAAAACAGAAGTGTAAATATTTGAACTCATTTGAATTGACGTTTTAGGCAACAGTATACAAATTAACAAAATTAATTCATATTTATAAATATTATTTAATATATAAATTAAAATATTTAATAGGATAAATTGGAAAGCAAATAGCCATAAACTTGAACGTATTCTTGATAAACTCAAATAAAAAATAATAAGTAAAGAAACGAATGAATGTTCTGACTTAAATATTGTTAACCTTTGGTAAAAGACTTTTGAACTTTTTTTACCAAAATGTTTTTTAATTAATTATAGATTATATAAGAGAAATCAAATAAATTGGGATAAAAAATCCTTGATCATTAATTTAAAATAAAACAGATTGAGTATATAGTACTTTACTAAGACATTTTACAAAGTTGAATAACTATTTATTATTATTATTTGAGAGCTTATATATAAATTCTAATTTTTGTTGAGAACTTCATATATAAATTCTAATTTTTTATTATTATTTGAGAGCTTATATATTGTTATAACCTAAAATTAAATCATCAAAAGTATTTTAAAATCAAAAATGTTTGTGTGATTTATCTATTAGTAATCCATGTTGTTACCTGTAATAAAATTTTAAATGAAAACAAAAACAATTTTAAATACTTTAAAAATTTGAATATAATCTTCTATGTATATTGGTTAACTATTTTTTAAAACAAATAGGTAAATTAAAATAGACAATACATATCATCAATAGCTATTTTATGATAGATTTATAATATAAAACATATATTAGTCAAAATTTTAAAAATAATTATAATTTTTTTTTTAAAATTAACTATAGAAAAACACTAAAGAAAATCTTTTATAACCAAACATATTATAAAAAATTTACTGTTGTATTTTAAGTAATGTAAACATTATTTAATCAAAATATATATTTAAAATCAATAAAAATTAAAAATATTTTAATTTTTTGCTTACCTGATGAATATGAGTAGCGCCATGTGCTTCCTCAAACCCTAAGAAAAAATAATTTAAGATGTAAATATATACAGTAGAAACTCCATAAATTAATATTCGATAAATTAATAATTATGTTTGGTTCCAAAACTTAGAGTCAATAACTCTTAAAATCTATAAATTAATAACTTGATATATCAATAAATTTGTTCAGTTCCAACATTATTAATTTATAAAGTTTCTACTGTATGATATATATATATATATATATAAATACAAGGGTGTATATATATTAATATACCGATAGATATAACACATATCATTAAAGATTTGATATGAAATTCGTTAAAAGCAAAATAAATCTTGGTTATCAAAAATGCTAACCACTATTAATATAAACTTTTTTGAAAATAAACTAACCAATCTTTTGAAAATTTTCTGATCGAGCAAATAAATTGTTTTAAAAAAAAAAAACTTAATAGGGTTATGAGGTAATGTTAGTAAGCCAAAAAGCAGACATATATCATTGAATTATCAATTTTTTTAATCAATACAACAATAACATTAATGTCTCTCCTAGAGATGACACCTCAGCATTTTTAAGCTTTCTAAAGATGACACATCAGCAAAACTATTTACCAATCATAACATTTTAATAATACAACTTATTTACTTATTTTAACTTTTAAACTTAAATCCATTAGAAACCCAAATACTTTTTCTATTAATCTTTATTTAATTTTTACCTAACACAAGCCCAATTAATTAATACCAGTAAATAAATTTTTTTTTTTTTTACCAAACTTAAGTCTAAATAATAAATAACAACAAATAAAAAAATCGTTGTTTTTGATGGGCAACACAATTTTCTGTTATTGATGGATAATGCGATTTCTTAGTTTTCGTACAAAAATACAATTTCACAGTTTTTGCGAAAAATGCAATTTGACGATTTTTGCAGAAAAAAAAATTTCTCAGTTTTATTAGGAAAACACAATATCTCGGTTCGACAAGAAAACAGTTTTTCTTGGTTTTGGCGGGAATATGGAATTTCTCTATTTTGCCTGGAATAGAGGATTTTTTGATTTCGATAAGAAAATGTGATTTTCAGTTTTGATAGAAAAACCTAATTTCTAGGTTATGGCGGAAAAAATGAATTCTCGGATTTGGCGAGAAAATGTGAATTTTTGATTTTGGTGAGAAAATTTTTAAAAAAATTAATTTTGATAGAAAAATAAAATATCTTAGTTTTGATGGAAAAATGCTCGATTTTGATGATATATGCAACTTTTCAATTTTGACAAAAATGTGATTTCTCAGTTTTAATAGGAAATGCAAATTTTCTGTTTTTGACGGTTAATGCGATTTCTTGGTGTTTGCGTGAAATATGATTTTTGTAGTTTTCGTGAAAAATTGGAATTTGACAATTTTGGCGGGAAATGCAATTTTTTGGTTTGATGAAAAAACAAAATTTCTCGATTTTGGTGGGAATAAGCAACTTCTTGGTTTAGATGAGAACTGCAAATTTTCAGTTTTTGACGATTAATGTGATTTTTTTGTTTTCGCGGGAAAATATAATTTTTTAGTTTTCAGGCGAAAACACATTTTCTCGTGAGATAATGCAATTTATATGTTTTCGCGGGAAATTGTATTTTATTTGTTTTGGTAGGAAAGCGTGATTCTTGGTTTGACGAGAAAATGAATTTTTGGTTTTGGCGAGAATAAAATATTTTTCAGTTTTAGCAGGAAAATAAATTTTTCGGTTTTGACAAGAAAATACGATTTTTTTTTTGTAGGAAGATGATTTTTTTTTGTTTTGGTGAACCAACGTGATTTTTTTTTATTTTGGCGAAAAAATACAGGTCTCGCAGGAAAATGAAATTTTAGGTTTTAGGTTTGACGAGAAAATAATTTTTTTTGGTTTTGGCGGGAATATGCGCTTTCTCAGTTTCATGGGAAAATGTAGTTTTGATGGGAAATGCGATTTTTTGGTTTTTGTAAGAAGATGAAATTTCTCTATGCTAAATTTCCAAGTTAAAATATGTTTATAGTAACCAAAATTTAATTATTTAACTTCAACTAAAACGATATTTCAACAGTTCAAACATAATTTTCTATTTAGTTCTAAAGCAATATCATTGGTTTTGATGTGAATGTTATTGATTATAGTTTGTTAGTTTTAGAAAAATATGTTTATAATAAATATTTGATAAATAACTAAATTTTATAATTCAAGATAATCATATTAATTAATAATTATTTTTTAAAAATGGCATTTTGATTTATATAATAACAAAAGAGGATCAAGTGATAATCTATTGGAAAAAATAGATTACATTTGCCATTAGTATGAAGGTACTAAAAATATATTGCTTTATTCTTACATATACATATATAATTAGTTAGCTAAACAAATTTAATAGCAAATTATAATTTTGAAAAATAAAAAATTAAAGATATACAAATTATTCAAATTGAAAACATATAAATACATAACTTAAGCTAATAAAAAATATAATATTTATTTACATTATAAAAATAATTTTATTATATTAAAAATATATTCAAAATTTAGAAAATTATCCTGCAACATAGTGTGGGTAAATACCTAGTTGTTATTAAAATGTTCTTGTATTCGTGATGATTTTTAAGTGCTCGTTCAAATCAAGTGTTATTCAATATTAAAAATAATAAAATTGATTTGTGGTTGATTTTAATAAATTTTGAATTATTTCCATGTCACAAAAAAATCTTAAATTCGTGAGAAAACTTTGTTACTTGGAATAGGTTTATAGTACAGAAAATTTATAAATACTATATAGATTTTCAATCCAATACAAATACACAAAACACAAAAACTTTTAAATACTATATAGATTTCAAACTAATAAAAACACACAAAATAAAACTTTCTTAAATTATTGTGTTACAATTAAATATAAATTCAATTAATTTGATTTGTGACGACGTGAAGAACACAGAAGCAAGAAGGAGATGAAAATCACCATCTTCATCTTTGTGGATGTGAGAATTACTTAGATCTTAATCAAATTAGATGTTAAAAAAGAAGTGAAAAAATGTATATTTATTGATGATTTGGAAGTAATTTTCCTTGAAGTTTTTGACAAGGAGAAGATTTCATAATTGGATGTGTGTGTTTTTTAATTGGATGGATTGGATATGAGTTTGGTTGAATCAATAATTCTTTAGATTCCTAAAACACCAATTTTTCGAATTAGAAAAAAATAGAAAATAAAATCAATTTTATAAAGAGAACATATGAACGCTCAATTTGAGAGTGAGGGGACGCATTTTCCCTTATTTTTAAAAATGATATAAATCTGTAGCTTCGAAAGTTCCATTATTTAGTCACATCCCGAAAATTGTGATTTAACTCCGAAGAAAAGAAATTGTATTTGCATTCCGTCTGACTATTGAGAGACGAGCCTGCGATACTCAAAAGGATCGTTCACAATAACGAGTATTTTAATAAGGATGTCAAGAAAAACAAAGTTTCTTGAACGACCAAGCAGGAACACATCTAACACTTATGAAACCAAAGTAGAGCACAAAAAAAAACATGCTTGTTTCTGTTCTTATTGGGCTAACCAAATCTGTAGACACAGCGAAGCAAGATAGCATCACACCGAAGAATTTGTTTCTCTTTTACTTAGCCTGAGGATGAGAAGCAATAAAGTCAACCGCAAGGTCAACGGACTGGATCTTGTCTGCTTCATTATCAGGGATCTCAAACCCAAATTCTTCCTCCAATGCCATCACAACTTCCACACTGTCCAAACTGTCTAACCCGAGATCGTTTTGGAAATGGGCTTTTGGTGTTACCTGCAACCGACAGTGCGGACGCATTAGTACAGAGTTTAAGCATAGCTTATATGCAACAGCAGACTAAACATCTCTAAGAACGAAATAAATACAATTACTTTATTTTTTGGTATTGAGTTGCCGATCCAAATAGCTAAGAAGCACTACACAAACACCACGATACAAAGCCAAAAGTCGAAAATTTTTGGACAAATGATCATTCAGCTAAGCTTCTCAAAAGCTTCTTCTACATATTACACAAACTGCATTCTTATCAAACCACAACTTTTGAAAGAAATACAGATTTAGTTATCAACTTTGGAAAACTCAAGCGAATCAAAGATGGTGAAATTTGAAGACAAATCTATCACTAGTACAAGCCTAATCAAAGAACTAAATCAGTCAAATGCACTTCTCATCAGCTAGAAAGAAACTCCGAAACATGTCATGGACTAGACCAACTGTTACTCATATCTGAAATTTAACATATAGACCTTCATGACAAACACGAATTGCGTGTAAATAATAAATACTCAAAACATAAATCTCAACAACAAAAAGATGTGGATGATATCAAATAATTTGCTGAGTGATAAACACTAAATCCCAGCTTCAATCAAGGCTTTTCTTGATCTGATCATATCTTGATAACATTGGTATGCAGCAAAACAGTAATGCATTTCACGTTGGTATGCAGCAAAAATAAATTAGTAACCTTCACTTCTTAAGTCTACTCAAACATCCCAACAATCTACGAGTTTCAATTTTCAATCGCAATAAAAACGAAATTGAAAAGTAGAAATGGCTCGAATCGAAGGAAATGTAACTGAAATACCTTTGCGGGATCGACTCTTTGAAAGTTTTTGACGACAGAGATAACGCGATCTGTGACATCTGATTTGTCGAGAAACGATCCTCTGACATCCTCGGAGAAACGGCGAAGAAGTACGGTGAACGGGAGTGCAGATTCTCTGGCGCCGATGTTTAGGTTTAGAAGTGATGGATTGACGTTGACTCTAAGGTGTCGAAGCAGAGCATTTCTCGCCGCCATCGCTGTGTTGCAGAAGAAGAAAACAAACCCTAGAAGCTTTCTCTGTGCTCTCTCGAAGGAGAGAGATTGCAGATTTGCTTTTGTTAAGTTCCAAACGACGTCGTAGACTATGTACTGGGCTTTTTTTTATTTTGCCTTTTTTATCTGGGCCCATTCATTATGGATTCGTGTATTTTTTTCAATGAATCTAATATCCAACGCGTATCATATATCATGTGTCGGGTGTATTCAGCCCCGGCAGGACAGGCGGGTTAAGCCATGGCTTAAGATCATTAATTTTTTACTTAACTTTTTATTTAATTTTTTAAGTCATAGATATAAAATAATTATATTTATTGGACCAAAATATTAACAAACAATTATTTTTAAAATATTATTATCTAAATATTAAATATAAAAAGATATTTTTTTTTGTTTTTTGCTTTGGACCACTAAAATAATTGGACTAGCCATTGATGTACTTTCATGCTAAGCTTTATATCATTGTTATATTTTAGTCAAAGAGTAAATCAAACTGAATATTCAACTTGCATCTATAATCATATATAAAAATTGATGGCATAGTGCATTGAGGGCGTCCACATAGGATTAAAAAACTCGATATGATTGGTCTACATCAACAATTTTCATTTAACAAAAAAAATATTAAGTATGATTAATATGAAGAAACTCAATATGATTGGTCCACATCAGCTTTTTCATTAAACATAAAAATGTTAAATTTGATTAAAACATTACAAAATTAATTTCTATTTTCTTAAAACATTAATTTCGGTTTGTATATGGGAAAATCAAAATAAAAACCTTAAGTAACAAATAGAAAAGAAATTAATATTAAAAAAATAAAAAAATATAGCATCCTTCAAAATTAAATAGAAATTTAATGTCAAAAGTGTTAACCTAACAAAAAAAACCAATAACATAAAAGCTAAAACTTATAATATAGACTAAGAAAAATTCTAACTTCTAACTTAATTGACAAAAAAATAAAAAAACATTAATTTTATTTTATAGATGGAACAATCATAACAAAAAAGCTTAAGTAACCAATAGAGAAGAAAATTATGTTAAAAAAAACTAAAATATAGTATCCTTCAATTTAATGTAAATTTAATGTCAAAAGAGTTAAACTAACAAAAAAATCAATATCGTAAAAGCAAATTAACTTAATATCTAAAACAAAGAAATTAACTTGAAATTAATATAAAAATAGATTTAACAAAAAAACATTTGTATAAAAGAAATTAACTTAATGTCTATGCTATATATTTTGAAAATCAATAACAAAAGAGCTTAATAAAATAAAAATAAGTCATATGTATATCAAGTATATAAAAATATATATATTAAAATAAAATATAAAATTACTATCAAAAGATGTAAAGTATAAAAAAATTATTAAAATAAAATTAATTTGAAATTAGAGAGTGCCAATGGAGAGACCATGGAAATAACATGAGAATATTGAGAGGAGGAGGAAAAAGAATATTGTAGTAGGTGGCTCAAGGTCTATAGAAACAATAAAGAAATTATGCGCTAAATAAGGCTTACGAATTTTTAATAATAGTTTGTCATTGTAAAGATAATATTAATTACATTATATTATACAATGACAAAATATTTATTCATGCTATAATTTTATCCAGATAAATATTTGTATAAAAATTATATAAGCATTTCATACCAAGTTCGAAGAAGTAGATTTGGATGATATAAAAATAAAAATATAATTTATTATGTTGAAAGAAAAGTGATAATTTTTGAAACATAAATTATAACATTTATAAAATTTATAAATATTTATGATTATGTTTAAGTTTTTTCTACAAAAATGTTGAAGCCACTACTAACTATTTGACATGGTATTACACTCTCATGCATATACCTGCTATACTTTAATTATCTATTGTGATTTTTTTAAATATCAAACCAAACGTTTTTAAGGCTATTATGATATGATGAGAAATTAAACATGTTTTTATAAAAAGTTTTTTTAGGTTTCAATATATTATAAATATATGTTTCAAATTTTTTTTATAACTTTTTATAAATGTTATTAAAACATAAACATTTAAAACATTTTTATAACATTTTTATATATATTTATGTTTTTTTAGCTTTCAACATGGTATAATTTACAAACTTGAGATTTCGGGCTAGCATTTTTAATAATCAACACAAAAAAACTTAACTAAAAAATTGATGCTATAAAACTTTGAGAAAAGTTCATAAAAAATTAAATTGAACAGTTAAACTATGTTAAATGAACATTATAACTAAAATGAAATTAATATAAAAAATATATTTGACAAATAAAAAACATTTGTATAAAAAAATTAACTTGATGTCTATGTTACCTCTTTTGTTAGAAACAACAAAAATGCGTAATAAAAACAAATATAAGTTCTAAGTATATCAAACATAAAAAATAGATTCTATAAATAAATATAAAATATAAAATTACTTTCAAAAGATATAAAATATATAAAACAATTATAACAAAATTAATTTGAAATTAGTTTCCAAAAATTCATAATTTAACAATAAATAACTATCTAAAGTTGTAATAAGTTTACATAAGTAAAATATACAATGATTAATACACCGGATGTTTAGGATTTTAAAAATTAACAAAGAAAAACACAACATAAATAACCTTACATTCAAAATTTAACAAGTTCTAAAATCTGATTTTTATACATAGTTACTACTTACAGCTGAACCAACATTAATTACATATGAGTAACACGTTCTAAAATTATATTTAAATAATAAAGTATGAGAAAGTTGTGAATCAAACTTAAATTGGTATTTGTAGATAAAATATTCAAATCAAAGCATACAGATTGCACATAAGAGATAAAAATAGTAAAAAATAATGTGAAGACTCGAGAACAGCGATCGTACAAGTATAAAAACTAAAATTATCAAATATTAGACTGCAAAAAAAAAAAAATCTCAATGAAAACTGAATAAAGATATAAGCTAAAACTCATTGATGATCTGGTGAGAAGGAAGAAATGACTTTGCATGATCATTGCAACTTCCTAACAAAACTAAATGCGAATCAACATGAATCATGAATTATAAATGCGTATGTACATAACATCACATTCAATAAAAAAACTAAATATTTAAACACATAAACTTTGAAGAAAAAAAAATGTAGAAATCCTATGAAAACCAAAACAAAATATCAAGATCTTAGCAAAAAAAACATTTCTCTAAATCAAACGTATGTGTATGTCAAAGTTGGATAATTTGATAGGTCTTATTGTTATTATTTCACATAATAAAATTTAAAAACTTATAAATAAAAATAGGAGAAAACTACACATTTATATTTTAATTTCTCTTATATAAAAGAATTTTTTTATAAATCTATTAAATTTTTGATAATTTACAAGATAATACCTTAAAAAAAATAAACTAAACTATTAATACAAACTCGCGCGTAGCGTAAATTATAAACCTAGTCTGTACTATATAAAAGTTGATGACATTGTGCATTGAGAACGTCCACATAGGATGAAGAAACTCAATCTGATAGGTCTACATCAGAAATTTTCATTGAACAAAAAATGTTAAGTATGATTAAAACCTTAATTTCATTTTAATGATTGAAAAATTAAATAAAAAAGTTTAAGTAACAAATAGAAAAGAAAATTATGTTAAAAAACCAAACAAATAGTATCCTTAAAAATAAAATAGAATTTTGTTTTCAAAAGAGTTAAACTAGCAAAAAAACCAATATCATAAAAGTTCAAACTTATAATATAGATTAGGAAAATTCACAAAAAATGTTTAAGTATGATTAAAACCTTAAATTTGTTTTAATCATGGAAAAAGAAAATAAAATATTTAAAGTAACAAATAGAAAAGAAAATTATGTTAAAAACTAAAAAAACAGTATCCTCAAAAATAAAATCGAAATTTATTTTCAAAAGATTTAAACTAACAAAAAAAAATAATATCATAAAAGTTCAAACTTATAATATAGATTAGAAAAATTCTAACTTCTAAATTAATTGACTACAAAATATAAAACGTTGATTTCGCTTTATAGATGAAAAAATCAAAATAAAAAGTTTAAGTAACATATAGAAAACAAAATTATGTTAAAAAACCAAAATATAGCATCCGTCAAAATTTAAAACATTAATTTTGTTTTATGGAGTGAAAATTAAAATAAAAAGGCTTAACTAACAAATAAAAAAGAAAATGATGTTAAAAAAACAAAAAATTGTATCCTTCAGGATAAAATAGAAATTTTTTTTCAAAAGAGATAAACTAACAAAAAAACCAATATAAAAAAATCTCAAACTTATAATGTAGATTAACTTCTAAATTAATTGACAAGTAAATGAAAAACATTCATTTCATTTTATAGATTGAAAAATAAAATAAAAAGCTTAAGTAACAAATAGAAAAGAAAATTATATTAAAAAACTAAAATATAGGATACCTTAAAATTAAATATAAATTAAGTCTACATAAGGTTAAAAAACTCAATATGATTGGCCCACATCAGTAATTGTCATAAACAAAAAATAAAATGTTAAGTATGTTGTTTTCAAAAGAGTTAAACCAACAAAGAAAAAATATCATAAAAGTTCAAACTTATACTAAAGATTTGGAAAATTCACAAAAAAATGTTAAGTATAATTAAAACCTTAATTTTGTTTAATCATGGAAAATTAAATAAAAAAATTTTAAGTAACAAATACAGAAGAAAATTATGTGAAAAAACTAAAACAAAATAGTATCCTTAAAAATAAATTAGAAATATTTTTTCAAAATAGTTAAACTAACAAAACAAAACCAATATCATAAAAGTTCAAACTTATAATATAGATTAGGAAAATTCTAACTTCTAAATTAATTGACAAAAAAATATAAAACATTGATTTCCTTTGATGGAAAATCAAAATAAAAACGCTTAAGTAACAAATAAAAAAGAAAATTGTATTAAAAAACCAAAATACAACATCCGTCAAAATTTAAAACATTAATTATGTTTTATAGTTAAAATAATAAAAATAAAAAAATCTTAACCAACAAATAGAAAAGAAAATTATGTTAAAAAACCAAAAAAATAGTATCGTTTAAAATAAAATGGAAATTTGTTTTAAAAAAA